ATTTCATAGAGCTACCGCCTCGGATGCTGTCTTGGACATTATTTCTATAATCATTAATGCAGTTCTTCTTTTTTACTTACACAAAAGTCATTATAATTATCGTCTATATGATACACTCATTTGGTGTTTTGCGAACTGGATGCTTTCCTTCATAACTTATTGTATTTCAAGTTTAACTCATTTAGTTCTTGTAAATATTATATTTTTGAAACAGGCACATCACCATGGATTTAAATTTAAAAGAGAACTTAGACAACTTTGCACCAGAGCTCCTACTCTTAAGCAAAATTTGTATTGAAACTAGGTTATATTATGTTGTATCATATTGAGATTTTTCTATGTAGCCCCTATAAGCATTTACTCGTATAGTGTTAATTACTGCATTATTTGACAAATCTGTACCGGCAAATTCCTAAACATAATCTGGTACTTATATATTTCAGTTTATCTCACGAAAAATCTCACGAAGAACACATTGATGCAGTTGTAAATAAAAGCCTGAGGATGATTTCATTCATATTGCGAAACACCAGAGAATTTAAATCAGTCATTGCATTAAAGACTCTTTATTTTTCATTGGTTCGCTGTAACATAGAATATTGTTGTAATGTATGGTATCCCACTTATCAAAACAATATTCAACGATTGGAAAATGTTCAAAAGAAGTTCATTCGCAGACTCTCATACGTTGCTGGAGTGCATCGCACTATAAGAGGTTATGAGAAAAAGCTCGATTATTTCTCCCTAAAATCATTACATCAGCATGCAGACAAACTCAGACTGGTTTTCCTTTACAAGCTCCTTAATGGTGCCATTGACTGCCCTGAATTACTTTCCCTAGTTGGAATAAGAATCCCCAGACCATCGACTCGGCTGCACACCTATGCCCCATTATTTGTGCCTAGAAGAAGGAACAATTATGGAAAGAATAGCCCCATATCACTTGTTTTATCCAGATATAATCGACTTTTTAGAAAGGCAAGCATAGATATAGATATTTTTTCAGACAGCGTTAGCCAATTTCTAGTGAATGTTGAAAAGCACATCGAGTAACTCGATATAAACATTCATCCTAAATGATAATAAAATTAAATAGCCATACTTAATGTAACTTTATTCTATATTTTACTTAAAAAATATGCCTTTTCTTAAATCTTAACTTAAATCTCACACATAATTTTTAGTATTGTTTTAAATAAAGTAATTGCGTTAATGTTAAAGTGTTGTACTCACCTATAATTTAAGTACTTATATATAATGTTATACAAAATGTAGCCGAAATGTTTTCATATGTACTTAGTTGGTAAGTCTAAATAAATAAATAAATAAAAAATCATATTTAAATTTCTTTAATCAATTTATGTTGATAAATTCCAAATACTTCTGAGCTAGATTAAGTAAGCATTATCGATCATACTTATTACATTTGTAGAGAGCATAAGATGCTTCAAATTTTATAATCTCGGCAGTAATAAATAATTCACATCACGGTAGTTCTTTAAGAAAGCATCTATACAAATTTAAAAAGTTCAGTCAGTGCTTGAAACGCGAAGAGAGGGTTATTCGACGATTCCAAAATGTAATTTCTAGAAAAACCTTGAAAAAGGCATTTTACGGTTTTTTTGTCTCTGCCCACGAGGCAATTACTCGACAAATCTAAAGGTTCAAGTTTAATTAAGGCTCTTAAAATTAGAAATATTTGATATATTCCTAATTTTAGGAAATCTATCGTATTTCCTCGAAAATCAAGTACTTTCAAATCGAAGTTTTGGACGAACAATTCATTAATAAATTCTATTAGCAGACTAGCTGATAGCCGCGATTTCGTCCGCGTTGCTTGATATATCAAGAAAACACACATCACTGAACACGTAGTGCTTGTAAAAATCGTTATTTCTTAAAACTTTAATAACTTTATATTAAATGAAGATATCGTAATATTTTTTTTAGATAAGGGCCAAGTGTCTAAGAAATAATACTTAGAAATTTTTTGAATTCTATCCAGTAGTTTTACCGTGATGCGTGCACAACTGCCAACCTCTATCATTTTACTATTTATTTAGCACCATCTAAAGATGTCAGTTTCAGCCATTTTGCTATATTCTCTAACAGATCTTGACATTCTAAAGAAAGAAGACGCTTAAAAGATTCGAGTTCAGTATCTGATATTCTACAGGTTCTTAGTGTAATATGAAATGAAATATTGGCTCTCCTCCAACTGTTTTTTCTTCAAAACCGAAATATCACATTTGCAATAATTTGAAGACTTGTAACTTTTCTTGATCAGTTTTTATTTTAAGAAATTTTGTCACAAAACTAATATTTTACACATAGGACTGCTTGCCCCGAAACGAGGCCGATTTTCCAACGGAATGTAGAAGTTTCTTCTTCGAGGCACCTCTCTACATATATGAACGTTGCAATTACTTCATCCCCATCCTTTTTGTATTTCTAATTCTAAATCAGCTTTCGCAACATAAATTAATTTAGGGAAATTTTTAAATTTTCATGCCTTCGCCCACAAGTCCAAACCAGGTCAGTAAATACTATAGAATACCACTTTTGGAACTCTATTGTAAAAAAATACCAACTAGCAATGCTATTTGCTAGTACAGTCTTAATACATAGCAGTGTGATACTACACAGCTACACAGTAAGCGGAAATAAAACTTGGAAGCGCGCGACATGACACAATATTCAAACAAATTCACACATTAAAACTCCATCGCTGATTAGCTAATAGCTTATTAAATTCATTACGATCCCCGACGCACAGTTAAAGTTTGACCCTATTTTCCATGGACGTATAAATAAGCCTTATTTATACGTCAATGCTATTTTCATAGTTTTGGGTTTGCAATAATTTTTTGCCATTCATAATAAAATTCGATAACATATATTATTTTTGACGCAATTGTATTTGTCACTTGTCGCCAGGGACGTTTAATGGAATAAAGTGCAATGCAAATTATAATTAATCACTATTATGATAGTAACGGTATTCGAACCAAACTTGTTTGCAGCGCAATTGGTTAACCACGCCTGTCGCAGCTTAATGAGGGCTAATAATTTTCTGCACACCAGATGTCGCTAGTTGACACTGAGGAAAAGTTTTTTGTTACATAATGTCAGTTAATTGAGAAGTTAGGTTTTAATAAACGTTTATCAGTTTCAAAAATATTATATTAATACACAAAACAATCCGTCAATGGTTTGCTCTTTAATTTTTTGCACATTTTTTTTTATTTTTCTACTTTTATGAATATTGTGGTTTGGTTTATTTATTTTTAATCTTATTAATAAAAAATATAGCTAATAGTACAGAAAGAAACATTAACCTTTACATTTTCCGAACAAATTAACTTCCCCGCTATGATATCTGTCAAATATTATACCTCACTTATAAGTGACGCCGCCCTGGTGGCAGAAAAATTCGTGAATGCCCTCATTTGCGTTGGGTCATTTTGGAACTAAAAAACTAGAAATGCTTTCACGTTTTATTTGGGTTCACTGATTAACACGACCAATACTGCCTCTAACTAAGCTTTAAATGCTGATGCAAGGAGTGTTTCACAACACTAGTCTATACCACTGTCTGTAAACTAAGTCTACGACTTATTGCCCACGAGGCTCGAAACATTGGCTTACAATAATAAAATAAAAATAAACTGAAATCAGCTATACGGCGTTATAGCTTTGGACTATGCTTTGTTGTATTATTTGAAGTTAAGTCTACCCAAATCTATTGAATAGTCCACATGTGGTTGGCTGAAATTACGATGAGGGTATTTCTAAACTACTTCTTCTTCTCTTTATTTTGATCGAATCATTTTTAATATCATTCAAATCACAGAAAAACACAGTTGTCTGCTAATTAATTATCAATTGGGCTCGAATCCAGCTAAAAGCAATGCTTGCGTCACACACAATGTTCGCTTTGGGGACTGATATATTTGTTAACTAGCTGTTCCTCGCGACTTCGCCCGCGTGTTAGGGTTTTTATGTATTCGCGCGGAACCCTAATTCTTTTTCTAAAATAAAAGTAACCTAAGTTACTCCTTATGAAATCAGCTATTTGCCAGTGAAAGTCTCGTCAAAATCGGTCCAGCCGTTTCGGAGATTAGCGGAAACAGACAGACAGACAAAAATTTAAAAAAAGGCATTTTAGTTATAAGTACCGTATTTACTTTCATATGCATTTAGTAAAAAACAGTAATTTTGACATTACAAACAGACGCTTCAATTTTATTTATTTGTATAGATTTGTTTTAGCTTGGTTATCTAATTAAGGAAAATAAATACATATAACATCCTGTTACACGTCAGGCTGATTATGCCAAATCCTTGGAAAATGCAGTAAATACATTTAACTTTATATTAATAAATAAAACATTTTAAGTAATAAATAAAACATTTTATTTTGAAATAATCAATAAGAACTAAGCTCCGAATAATTTGGTATACGCACACAAATAAATTCAAGCATTGCTTTTTATGCATGTCAAACAATTATCGTAAGGTACAAGACTGACATCAACTTTTGAATAATCGTATGTTATCACAATTTTTTTAATGTTTTTCATAATTAACTACCCCGTAACATTCCTAAAAGTCACAAGAGGCAGTACAGGGAAACTGGAATAGAAGATGCACATCAGCATCTTCCTCTTCCTTGATATCAACTTAAATTCAAAAAACTAAACTAGACTAGAAGAAAACTAACTAAACAAGATAAAACTGCGGTTGTTGATCCGCTTGCTAAGCGTGGCAACTATGGCAAATAACTGGAGCAATATATGGTGGAGGTCTATGTTCAACAGTAGATTTTGATTGGTAGTTATGATGGTGATGATACTATCATAGATTGACTCAACACGAAATCAAAACTCAGGACCCGTAGAATTTAGGTATCCTGTACACTAAGCCACCCAGTCATCTGGCTTAGTACATTACAAATATAAGAAAAGTAAAACTAATTATCTTTTTAACTCTATGTTCACCTACATATCTACTAAAGATCTATCGCAAACAAACTTATCAGTAGCGATACATACAGAGTGCTTTCCATCAAAATATGCACTATTATATACAATATTCATCGATTTAACTTCCCGCAATAGTTCATTAAGGCACGCACAATGCCAAGGATTCGGAATAAATAAGAATTTTACTAAGGTGACTCCTGCATTCTTTAATTCCAAGCAGAAGTTTTCTTGTAGAAATGTTAGTCTGTTATCTGACAAATTAAGATTTTTCAATGATGTTCCTTTCAATCCATCAACACCAAAAAATGTTAGAAAGTTATTCGCTAAATCAATAGTTACCAGTTTTGGTAAATTTTTAAACAGATTATTTGAAATTAACTGCAATTTATTGCTTCTCAAAACAATTCCCCTCAGTTTCTTTAAGGAACTGAAGACATTTTCATTTATGAACTCCAAATTGTTTTGTGCTAAATCTAATTTCTCTAGGTTGTGTAAATTTAAAAATGTTGCAGCGCTTTCTATTTTATGAATTTGATTTATAGATAATGTTAGATGTTTAATCGTTTTTAAATTTGGTGTTGTTGCAAATTTTGGCACCTCTGTAAGTAAACATCTGCTTAAATTTAAAGTTTCTAATGATTCGAATGCATGTAATAGATTATCAGGTGATTTAGACATGTCATTACTGGAGAAATCTAATAGTGTTATATGTGGACTCTCGTCAAATAAAAACGGACTTATATCTTTTCCTACCAACAAATTCGCAGATAAATACAATGATTTTAACTTTGTAAGTGGATCAAATATTCCCAACTCTAGCGAATTTATCAAATTCCCACTTAAGTCTAGAGTTATTAAATTTGGTTTTTGATCAAATAGACCAAGTGGGAATCCAGTTAGCAAATTGGACGATAGATTTAGATGAGTTACATTCAAAGCTTCATCAAGGACTCCCAATTTCAATTCCTGTATTTTATTTTGCGATAAGTCTAAATGTTTCAGTGATGGTAAATTCTCAAAAGATTCCAAATTCACTTCAGATATTCTGCAGCCACGTAGAACTATTTTCATTGTGCTATTATTATCCGACACTAAACCTCTTTCCAAAACATAATTACTGTCACCAGGTTTGCACACAACAGTTCTATATGAAGTACCATAAACTTTACATGAAGGTTTAGCCTTCACCGGTGACTGTAAAATGAAGACAATAAGCAACCATAATGTATTCATTGCAGCTGTATCTGTAACACAACAATAATTTTAGTAAACTTTTCTTTTGAAAATAATCTTATTTGCAACAAAATTGTTCATTCATTCATCAAGTTTTTAACGTGGTAGAGCCATGCTGCAGCTACATTAGTAATATAGTTGTAGCACGAATGGGTCGGCTCGACCGGGGAAGGACCACACTCTCACAGAAAACCAGCGTAAAATAGCAACTTAACACTGCTGTGTTTCGTATGGTGAGTGTAGAGAACCGGAGACCCTTTTACTGGAAAAGAGGCATTCCATCTTAGTCCTCACGGGTGACAATACTAATTTCATGTCTTATAACCGGAAAATGTATACGAGTACCTAAACCGACTTTGAGAAATTCATCACGCTATGAATACCCACTACCTGCCAACTAGGAAATGTGTCACCATAGATAAATATATTAGCAAGCTATGTGTCACTTAATCTTTAAATATTATAATCATAGAATTATTAAATTCTATGATTATAATATTATGCGAGAAAACCGCTCTATTACAAAAAGGAGTTTATATTTAGTTTAAATTAGAGTTTGATTCAAGGAAGGACTCCCGTGGAAAATATGCGAACCAAAACAACCAAAATTTAATAATAATAAAGTATAAATTTTGACAGTAAACAAATTTTAGCGGACACGACGCCGCGGCTGCGTTTTTTTGTGACAAATACTTTAAACCGAAGACTATAAACCACGTTTTATAATATGCTTAATAATGCATAAAGTTATAAATTCAAAGCATGAACTACAAAGCATATCGTACATTATGAAATTATTTACCTTATTTTGACTTTATCACTAATACCTTTTATTCCTGTATTTTACGCCAATCATTACTTATTTAGTAGAGTATTTATAACTATCACGACCAATGCAACCGAAGCGAGATTTCATACTAAAGCCGTCCCCGTCTCCTAGTGGTGACCTGATACACGGTTACACGGATTTTATAAGAGCTAAATGCAGAATGTAGGTACATGTGTAAAGTTTGTGCGAAAAGAACGGGTTTCTTTCCGCACAAACTATTTACTAGTTTTTATTTTGTTTTATTGTTTTTAAACCCAACATCGTATTAACGTGAATATCAAAACGCAACATGTAACAGAAAGTATTGCCAATAACAGTTTAAGACCATAATTTAGCTTAAACATGTGATTTAAAGCTTAAATCACATGTAGAATCAACAAGTCAGTCTTTTGGTCATATAGGTACTTTATATTATTGTAAATCTTCCAGTAATTATTATTATTGTAATCTTCAGAGTCGATCGTACGAATGCGAACAAATAAATGAATAAAATAAATGCCCAATAAATGGCAAAACACCCAATAAAAACTATTTAAATTACAACTCTCCGCTATTAAACTTATTTTTATGTAAAGTTTCTTCACAATCGGTTCAGCCATTTTGAAGATTAGCCTAGATAAGTAGGTACCTACATAGACAAATAATTTAAGAATGGTTATTTATGTCTTAAGTTATTTCTATATAACAAACAAACAATTTAATTTTATTTATATGTATAGATTAATGTGTTTTAATTTTAAACAGTACTTAGTATTAACATGAAGAAGAGAGTAATACTTAAAGAAATTAAATTAATGTAGGGTAACTTGTCCAACAATGAACCACTTAAATTTTAAAACTTTATAACTAAGTTTTTAGGCGAAGATAGTAAATTTAATTGGCTATAATCTGGCATTATTACTTTTCTTAATATGTTTATAAATATTCCACGCCTAAGGTTTTTTCAAAAAATGGGAAATGATCCATTGTGTACAAGTGTGTACACAATGAGCCTAGCTATTTTTAACAATGAGCCAGGATCCAAACTACTTACTAATTAGTACTTTTTGCAATGAATTTGGTAATCACATTAATAAAAGTGCTTCTTTTTTTTAATATATAGGTAAGTACATATTCTTTTTTATAACCTTCATTTTATTAGTTTATTTTAATCATAATCAAGCAATACAGACAATTTTACTTTTATTTCCAGTGAGTTTTATTAAGGTAAAAGAAACTTAAACATAAATTAAAGTTTTGAATTGTTAGAAAATCAACAAAATTATAAGACACCAAAAAAACCAGCTTAGTCAACTTATTTTATTATCAGTAAACAGTCTCATAATCATTATCATTTTCATTACAGCCCTATAAAAGTCCACTCTTGAACATAGGCCTCCCTCAAAGAATGCCACAAAGCACGGTCCTGAACCACCTGCATCCATCGACTTCTTGCATGTCTTATCAGGTCAGCTCAATGTTGGACAGGTGACCTAAATATTTTTGTTTTCTGCTTTTAATAATAGTTATGGCTAATTAGATGAAACACCGTTATTAACTGCATAATAACTTCCAACCTTATTAGTAAACAAAATTAAAAAACTTCGCCCAACGTGGGGCTCGAACCCACGACCCTGAGATTAAGAGTCTCATGCTCTACCGACTGAGCTAGCCGGGCACGTACAGGGTTGCTTAAAATTTTAAAAGCAATTCCAATGTCTATCTTGAAATATCTTTGCACCCTAGTGGGCTAGGCTCGGCAGATATTTTTCTATCCATTCCGGTAGGTGAATGAGTTTCTCTCAGGATTCACTTCGAACGTTTTATTTATCTACTAGCTGTTCACCGCAACGTCGCCCGCGCGTATATTATTACGATTGGATTTCATGGGTTTTAATTTTTTGCGCGGTACCCTAATTATTTTTCTAAAATAAAGTAGCCTAAGTTACTTCTTATAACATCAGCTATCTGCCAGTGAAACTCCGGTCAAAATCGGTCCACCCGTTTCAGAGATTAGCCGGAATAAACAGACAGACAAAAATTTTAAAAATCGTGTTTTTGTTATAAGTACCGTATATACTTTCATATGATATCATAAATAACAGCTTTTTACTATATAAAAGCTGTTATTTCGACATTACAAACAGACACTTCAATTTTATTTATTTCTATAGATTTAAATTGTATTTACACACCAAGTTGATAAAGGCGGACTTTATACCACAAGGCATTGTCTACCCAGTCTTCCTTCAGGGTAAGCAGAGAAGATATTATAAGGGCAAACATCTACGTTAAACAATATCTACGTCAAGTTATATTTGCATCATATAGTGTACAGGTTCTCTCTATTACCAAGTTTAAATGTTTTATTAAGCTGAAACTGTATAGAAAGGGTTATTATAGAATAAATGAATACATGGTTGATAAGAATGAGGTGGTCGCTTCCAAGCAGTTGCTAAAATAAAAATCATTTATATTGTAAAATTTAAAAAAAAAGTCCCGCTGGGTTTCTTGCTGGTTCTTCCCAGGACAAAGGGTTTTTTTTTCGAACCAGTGGTAAAGTAAAGTAAAAAATGACTTTCAATAAGTATTACACATGTAATGTATATTGAATAAAAATTATTCTATTCTATTCTATATTCTATTCTAACTATAACTATATATTTAGATACATATGTACATAATTTTTTTTATAGGATAAGGGTGTCAAACGAGCACACAGTCCACCTGATGACAAGTAGTTGCTGTGGCCCATAGACATCTACATCTATCCTAGACCACGAATCAAAATGCAGATGCAGGGTCGCCCGTGAAGACTAAGATGGAAAAAAACTTCGTTTCCAGTAAAAGGGGTCTCCGGTTCTCTACACTCACCATACGCAATACAGCAGTTAAAGCTGCTATTTTACGCTGGTATTCCTTGAGAACGTGGTACTTCCCCGGTCGAATCAACCCATTCGTGCTACAACTATACAAGTAATATAGCTGCAGCATGGCTCTACTACCGATATATACATACAAATACATGCATTTACATACATTAATATAGCAATTTATAATTGAAACGCCATACTAGCATATTGTGAATGTGAGTTATCTTGGTCCATATCATAGAGCATTACTATCCTAAGTCCATATGGATATATTTTTGATGTGTCCATATAGATAGACAAGTTGTTACATCCTATTTCAACTTCTCAGGGGATGTATTTTCCAAAATCCTTTCTTAGTGGTAGTCTATGTTGAGAACGGAGTATATGATAAAGGAGATCTCGTAATGAGTAAGTTTGTGGTATTTCGCTTTTTCAAACAGTAACCAAGTTCAAATTTATTAATACTGATATATCGTTTTGGCAGTGTTTTAACGTACGAGTAAAAGACCAACAACGTTTTTTTGCCTATCAACCGGCATTTACGAATGTGTGCGTGCGCAATAAAATCAGTTAAAATAATGCATTACCACACATTTTGTATTTAAATTATAAAAAGGAGAGGACGTTTGAGACTTTTTTTAAATTAATATTTCTTTACCATTTGCCTATATTACTTATTCTGAACCTTCTCTAAAAGTTTGGCTCTACCGGTTTTTGCAAAATAACCTTGTATATCCATCCATCCAGCCATCCATTACAGCCTTTAAAAGGCCACTCCTGAATATAGGCCTCCCTCATAGGTTGCCTCGCTTAACAAGCGGGTTGGCAACCACAGTCTTTTATTGTTTTGAGTTGTTATCAGGAAGATGCTGCTGCTCATCTCCTGTTTTAGTTTCCCTCTGTCGCCTCTTACGACACCCTCGGAACGATATGGAGTAGTAGATATTCTTACACCGCCACTACACGGTTTCCTCTACTACACGGTTATATATATAAAGTTATAGCTTATAGAGTTGGACATAGATGGTTAGATGCGACTTGGGAGTAATCAGGATCATGTTCGCAGAGAATAGCTCCGTGAAATAGCAGCATATTGCTCCTATGTTTCGTCTGGCGAGTGACGAGCACTAGAGACCGTTTTTACTGGTAGCGTAAAGCGAACTATTACGTCATAACCTTAAGTCAACACATTTGCCAGACCTTTCGCTATGAACGATTTTGCAAATATACCTTGCGATTTTATCTTGATCCCTACTAACGGTGCCATTTCTAGTCCCTATTAATTGTAGGTAGGTTTTCAAAGAACATTAGTAACGTTA